ATATTACAATTTTTACAAGAGCGTTAGTCAAGATTGAAGAAAGAAGGTTAACAAAATGTTGTTGTTGAGACAATAAGAACACAGAGCTGTCTACACTACTTTGATGATATGTTAGTTCTATTGTTATTATTGTTTAAGTTATTTTTTTCTCATTAAACAATGTTATTTTGTGGCTATATAGGACGCAGAACAAAGTATTGTGTCGTCGTACTGTCATTCAATGCTGGAACCACATCCTTTTCTTCTTCCTGTAATAGAAGAAGCTGGATTTGGCGGTATTGCTAAATTAAGACATTTAAAGGTAGATCATACTTTAGTTACAGCTTTGGTGGAGAGGTATTACTCCGTTAAAAATCAATTACTTTTTTAATTACTCCGTTATGATCGATTAAATTTTCCAATAATCGATTATATTTTCAAATAATTGACTTTAGATAGCGGTTCTAGATTTAACCGCTATTAAAAATATATTTTAGATAGCGGTTAACGTGGAACAACTATTATATGTTCACTTTTAAGAGCGGTTAACGTGGAACCACTATTATATCTTCACTTTTAAGAGCGGTTAACGTGGAACCGCTATTATATCTTCACTTTTAATAGTGGTTAACGTGGAACCGCTATTATATCTGCACTTTTAAGAGCGGTTAAAATGTTAACCGCTATCATATATAAATGTCCAACGCACCACATATTTCATTATGATCGATTAAATTTTCAAATAATCGATTATATTTTCAAATAATTCATTATAATCGATTATTTTTAAATAATCGATTATATTCAATAATTTTTTCAAATAATTAATTATAATCGATTAGTTTTTTAAATAATTGATTAGAATTGATTAGTTTTTCAAATAATAGATTATAATTGATTAATTTCTCAAATATATATTAAAAAATTATAAATAAAAATATATGTTAAATTAAAATTAAAAAAATTATTTATCAATTATATATTATAACAAATTATAATTACATAATTAAAAAAATCATTTTTATAATTATAACTTTAAAAAAAATTATAACTATAAAATTAATGTTAAATAAATTATATATATTATATAAATTATAATTATATATAAATATATTACTTAAATTAAAAACTTTAAATAAATTATATATATATGTATATATTGCATAAATTAGAATAATAATTATCAACTTAAAAAAGTAATTGATTTAGAATTCGATTTGTTTGCAATCGAATCTTAAATAGATTTTTTTATTTTGATAAGAAAAAACTAGTATATATAATATATATATATATATATATATATATATATATATATATATATATATATATTATAATATTTTATTTAAAAATTAAAATTTTAAAAATATTTATATATTTTAAAAATTAATAATATATTTAAATTTATGGTTAAACGTAGTAAAATAATATTTTTAAAATATATTATTAAATATTATATTTATATTATTTGTATTGTTAATTTTTTTAATTTTTTTATTTATTTGATATTGTAATATATTTTTAAGAAATTAATAATAAATTAGGAGGATAATAAAATTCTTAAAAATTATATGTATATAAGATAAAATAATATCTTGATGTAAAATTATATTTTTGAAATGTATTTTTTTCTTATGTTTTTGTAATATTTTGAATGAATATATATATATATATATATATATATATATATATATTAAATATAATTTATTTTTAAGTTCATAATTATTATTTTAATGTATACAATAAATAAATAAATATATATATATAATAATAATTAATTTGAAATTAATATATGTAATTTTAATTTATGTTATATATATAATTTATTTAACATAAAAAATAGTTATTTTTCTTATTAATTTTATAATTGTAATTTTTTTAAAAGTTATAATTCTGAATATAATTTTTTTAACTCTATAATTATAATTTATATAATATATAATTTATAAATATTTTTTTAAAATTTTAACTAGATATATATTTTTATTTGTAATTATTTAATGTATATTTTAAAAATTAATAGATTATAGTCGATTATTTGAAAAATTAATAGATTATACCAATTTTTTGAAAAAATAATCGATTATTTAAAAAATTAATCGATCATAATTGAATAATTATAAATTAATTAATTAATTGTTTAAATAATTTTTCAAATTTATATTGTGTAATATATATATATATATATATATATATTTTTTATAATGTTTATATAAAATTTATAATTTTAAAAAGAATTATGTATTTATTAGATTAATAATATATTTAGAATTATGGTTGAAAGTAGTAAAATATAATTTTTATTTGTATGATTAAATTTTTTTATTTTTTAATTTATTTGATATTGTAATTTTTTTTTAGAAATTAATAATAAATTACGAGGAAAATACATATAAAAAGAAATAATATTTTTATGTAAAATTAAAATAAATTATATTTTAGAATATATATATATATATATATATATATATATATATATATATATATTAGTTAGTTTTTCTTTTTTATCTGAATAAAAAAATTTTATTAGGATTCAATTGCGAATAAATCGAATTCTAAATCAATTACTTTTTTAATTACTCCGTTATGATCGATTAAATTGTCCAATAATCGATTATATTTTCAAATAATTGACTTTAGATAGCGGTTCTAGATTTAACCGCTATTAAAAATATATTTGAGATAGCGGTTAATGTGGAATCGCTATTATATGTTCACTTTTAAGAGCGGTTAACTTGGAACCGCTATTATATCTTCAGTTTTAAGAGCAATTTTTAACTGCTCTTAAAAGTGACACATTTATGAATAATTAATTAAAATAAATTATAATAAATATTAACCGCTCTTATAAATTAATTAATTAATTATATATATATATATATATATATATATTGCATAAATTAGAATAATAATTATCAACTTAAAAATAATTTATATTTAATATATATATATATATATATTAATTTATTTTAATTTCTATATATATATATATATATATATATATATATATATATATATAAATGAAAATAAGTTATATTTTAGAATATATATTTTATATTATAGTAATTACTATAAATTATATTTTAGAATATATATATATATATATATATATATATAATTTTACATCAAAATATTATTTCTTCTTATATACATATAATTTTTAAGATTTTTATTATCCTCCTAATTTATTATTAATTTCTAAAAAAATTATAATATCAAATAAATAAAAAATTAAAAAAAGTTTAATCATACAAATAAATTTAACTATAATATTTAATAATATATTTTAAAAATATTATTTTACTACTTTCAACAATAAATCTAAATATATTATTAATTTTAGAAATATACAAAGCTTTTTAAATACGTAATTGAAAACTATAAATATTAAATAAAATATTATAACATATTATATATATATATATATATATATATATATTATAGTTAGTTTTTTTCTTAACAAAATAAAAAGAAAACTATTCAGAATTCGGTTGTCGGAAAATCGAATTCTAAATTGTTTAAAAAAATTATTAAATACAATTACAATTAGGTTTCGTATTCCAGAAAATCGAATTCTCATCTTACAAAAAAAGCTGTGCTATCTAGGTAAATAAAACGTATAGTATATTATTTGAGTAATTAAAAAACGAATATGTACTACTTGTAGAAAAAATTTCCCCAAATGAGTAGCAACATATTCCATTATGATGAAATATATTTTAACACCAAACTAAATTAATAAGAACAAGAGTAATTAGGTGAGTAAAACCTTAATTGGAAATTAAGAACATATTGATATTTAAAAAGAGTTTGAGGTTAAAATTTATTAAGATATTATAAACTGAGAATTTTAAAGTAAATATTATTTTGTTTATTAATCATTTTCTTAACAAATTTCACGTGACAGACACTACAATAAATTTTTCAATTAACTAGGAAAATTTGCTACAAAATTTATTTTTTACTAATTTATAGCTAATTAGCTATAGAATAGTAAAGAAATAAAGTTGTAGTTAGTATGTAGTAAAATAGATAGAAAATAATATTTTTGTAACTATTCCCTCACTTAGTAGAAAATAATTTAGTTAGAAATTTTTTTTATCACTAATCTCTAGCTATAAATATTAACTATATTATTTTTTAAGCTATTTCTTAACTAAATTATATGATATACAATCCTAGTTAAATTGTAGGAAATTTATAGCAAAAAAATAATTATAAAACTATTTAAAAATTATTTTTACTGAATTTACTATAAATATATTAATTATATATATATATATATATATATATATATATATATAAATTATTTTCTGTGTCTGAAATAAATTATTTGAAAATAATTATAATATTTTTGAAAAAATATCTAAAAAAATTGATAAATATTTAAAATTATTTTCTGTAAAGTTTTTATAAATTTAAATTTGTAGGAAGTATTTTTTATAAACTGTAACATAATTTGCATCTGGGTCCTAAAAACATATTTTTCTACATCATATTACTTATTTTATAATTTTCTACTAAATCAAAGTATTATATCCCTATTTAATAATTACTGAATCATAAAAAGAGTAATAAAATTTCACGTAACTTAAAAAAAAAATTATTTTTACATAACTTATACCTCTTATTTATTAATATTTTTATATTAAATAATAAAAACTTAAAGAGTCCACAAATAAAATCTGTTTTGCAAATTAAACAAGGTAGATTAAATAACCCACCGTTTAGACAATTATTAAACTCTTAAACTAGCATTATTTTCCCCTGTTGGCAGTGTTTGCAACATTTCCCCTCGAGGCGTCAAAATTAATAAGCTGAAATCATTTTTGCTTCCGTATCAAACAAGTATCCTTTTTTTCTCTTGGCAAAATCAAAACCTCATGCCACAGAGGAACAATCGTTCAACTCTTCCAATCCTTCGATTCAGAATCTTTTCCCTTTCCTTTAAACTCCAATTTCCTGAGACAAACCGTTGTCATTGTTTTTCATTCAAAATTCAACACCCTTTCACGACGAAGAAAATGGGTTTTAGGGTTTTCATTCTCTGCTACGGTCTCCGCATTGCGGTTCCCTGCCTCTTCCTCTGCGAACCGTGATCACTTCCATTCCGTTTCACACTCTCTGTCTCTGTTCTTCGATTTAGGGTTCATAATTCTTCTTCCGATTTTGAACCGAGTGAATTACAAAAAATGTACGCTGATCTCGTGGAGAATCGTGGAGAATGGAGGGCGGAGGTCCGTGAAGGAGTGGGACATATGCTTTTTTTGGTAACTAAGTTTTCCACTTGCGCAGTAAACTTTTTTTCTTCAAAATTTTTTTCTTTCATATACTCGAAGGGGATGAACTGTTTCTGCGGGAAATTCTTCCTCTTATATCACATGTTCTTCATTCTTCTTCTATTGTCTAAATTTCAAGCAACGAGACTCTACTCGTGCAGGATCTGGTAAAACGGGAGAAAGCTTGAATTAAGTGGAAAAACTTCGGTAGAAATACCATTGCAAGTAAGGGAAAGTTTAATTCATTCAATATATGAAATTGAATTGCTAGGTACTCTGTGAATAAGGAATAGGAGTAGAGATATGAATTATTTGAATGTCTAATTTGAAAGAATGTCTGATTTTGAAGAATTTCTAATTTTGATAAATTGTTCACCGTTTGAAAGTTTTTGAAATTCTTGAAATTAAGGATGAATTATATAATAAAATTGTTGTTTTTAACTTAAATTAAACATGTTTATGATTTAATTTTGATTTGGAACTAATTTGAGTGATTGAAACTGAGAAATTTGAAACCTGGATTTTGAAAATGACGTATTGGAAGTAATTACTATTCATATTTTGTAAAGTTTTAAATACTGATTAAATTCTTGAAATTAAGAATGAATTATATGGTAAAATTGCTCGTTTTCAACTTAAATTAGATATAATTCATGTTTAATTTCGATTTGGGACTAGTTTGGTTGTCTAAAAGCTGAGTAATTTGAAATCTGCCAAAATCTACAAAATTCGACACTATTACTTGGGCGAAGGAAGAAGAAAGGGATATGGTGGGGATTTTTAAAAAGATCAAGGGTAAAATAGTCATTTTTCATCCTAGGGACATAAATGTAATTTTCGAAAATGTTCAAGGGCAAAATAGTCATTTTACATCCTTGGGATATAAATGGAATTTTTGAAATTCTTCAAGGATAAAATAGTCATTTTCGGGACATGGAAGAAATTTTTGAAAATGTCCAAGGGCAAAATAGTCATTTTCGGGACATGGAAGGAATTTTAAAAAATGACCAAGGGTAAAATAGTCATTTAGGGACATAAATGGAATTTTAAGAAAAGATTAAGGGCAAAATAATAATTTAATGATTTCGAAAATAATTTTGGAAATAGTTTCGGAAATGATTTCGGAAATGATTTTAGAAAAATATATATATAAAGAGAGAGAGAATGAAAGTAGTGTGTTGTGACGTGTGTGGGTCAGACTGAGCCTGAGGGTTGATGCCCAGAATCAGTCTTGAGACGTTATATATTGGCTAGACTGAGCCAGAGGGTTGGTGCCAGAATCAGTCAAATACTATTTTTATTGACCCGAATGAGCCGTGAGGACAGGTGGTCCAGAATCCGGCAAATGTGAATAAATTTTGTTATGTTTGAATGGTACCCAGGGTGGTACAGAGTACATTAGTGTAATAACTATGTCGGAGGATTCTGAATGAGGTCCCAAACTTCACTGATTGGTCGGGTCAGGTAGACTACGATATCAGGTGGTGAGAAGTCGATGGGGGATGACTGGTGACGCGCTCGGAGAGGTACTCCAATATGAGTGATGAAGGGCACCAGTAATCCTACTCTGTGTGGAAGGTGGTCAGAATGGTACTGCGGGTACCGATCACAATGTGCCCACAGATGATAGCCTCTGAGTTCGGGCATAGTTAGGGTATATTTTCGGAAGGTATCTTAGTGTATTGATAATTTTGTAATTGATCATATTATATAATTATTACTTCTATATATGTTTTATTATATCGAATGATTTAATACTTACCCCTATTTTTTCATGTGGATGGGACTGCGATGATCACTTTTATGTGGGAGCAGATTAGGAGTTGAGAGATGGTGATGTGACTACTGGACAGCAGGGATAGTTCACTAGGATAGCTTCGAGGGAGCTACTTTTACATGTATAATATATAAATAAATTATGTTACTATATTTTGAAGTTCCGTTAGTGAACCGAAATTTTAATCTATGTTACAATTACAATAATATAATGTAAAATATATGTTGTTATTTATTTGTTTATTACTTTACGAAGATATCATTATAGTAACGATTTTTAGGGTCGTTACAAGGAGCACCTTAATGGGAATGGTACTAGTGGTCTTACTTGGCTGCAGTAACAGCGTCAAATCACCGGCAAGAGGTTTGCAATTCTTACTCCTTCATGTTTTCATGATGTTTTAGGTTAATAATTCGGTCTATTGTATACAGTCATGCTGCAGTCTGCAGTGAAATGGTAGAAACCTCATAGTTGTTAAATAACATATTTGTCATGCGTATACAAGTAGACAGGAAAGGTTGTGATGTAAGATGCAATTGTCGCTTGTTTGAGTTCAGAGGTATACTCTGTAGGCACTCGCTTGCAGTACTGTCACAAGAGAGAGTGAAGGAGGTCCCCTGTAAATATGTGTTGGATAGATGGAGAAAAAATATTCAGAGGAAGCATGTTTATATAGGTATAGCTTCCTTGTGATTTTGTGAACTATGGTGAATCCCACTTTTTCTGCTCGCAGATTGTTCTTATTGCATGGCGGGTTAAAGGGAATATTCATTTACCATCTTCACTCTCTGTTTAGATTTGATGGGAGATTCTCCTCTTCTTTTAACTTCTTCGTACCTAGAGTATCGAGGGTAGTAATAAAAAATGTCATTTCGTTATTTAAATATTATATGATTTTCAGTTTATATTTCTAAAAAATGGGGTAGCATAGCAGCATATATTCCTTACTCCAGTTAACTGTTAATTTTAACACTTGCACGTGTGAAAGGTGGTGAATCCAAATGTCTCATGCAACTTTGCTCTGCAAAGATAGTTGGATCAGTCCTACCCTACCCTACTCATTTTCTCAAAAGATTTTATTATATAAATTAAGGAAAGAGTTTTAAATTTAATATCACAATCTTTTTAAAAGATAAATTAACTAAATGAACTTGAACTGTTATGTAAAAGAGTAACACTATAATTTGGTTTAACTTAAAGTAAGAGAAGCAATAAACAATATTAACATTCAGCTACAAAAAAGCAAAGCCTTCAACCCTTTTGTTTGAACTTGTTATTTCTTACTACTCTCGGGGTATTGTGGTTGGCATGATCATGGAGTTCAGATCCAAGTCATGCAGAGATGAAAGGCTCCAGATTGAAAGCAACGGTGGAGGCAAGGTGGCCCCAACAAGCATGCAAGATCTGAGGTGTCAGAGTGCTAAAAATGCTTCTTCTGGCCGTGCACACCAGATAGGTAGCACTGGTAAGGAGGTGAAGGTGAAGAGAGGGAAAAGGACAGCTGCTAAACCATCAAAAAGTTGGAGCTTCAGTGACCCTGAGTTGCAGAGGAAGAAGAGAGTTGCTAGCTATAAAATATATGTTGCAGAAGGCAAAATGAAAGGCTCTCTAAGAAAGAGTTTCAGGTGGATCAAGAATACATACACTCAAGCTCTCTATGGATGGTGGTGATTCATGTTTTATTCTCTTTTCTTCATGTTTTCTGTCATGAGAGTTACTTATTTGTTTTTTCTTTTACTCAGTACATTTTTAAATTAAATCCTCCAGCGGTAGTTGTTATATTCTATTTGAACAAGATTGTGTTTCTGGTTCAGAAGCTTAACTCATTTTTGTATGAAATTGCATTGTGTTTTGAGTGGCTAGTTTGGTTACTTATGAAATTCTCAATTGTTAATTCAATTAGATGAATATTTTTGGGTTTGAAGTAGAATATGATTGGTTTATTTGTATTTTTATTTTAATTATAAACGTCAAGAAGAAAAAAAGTGACATTATGAGAGAATAACTCTGCTTGTGTTCTGTTTTAGGCAGTTATGAGAGAAAAAAAAGTAACTATGTTTAAACAATACTTTTATATTGAAAGTTATAAGTTTGTCATCTTTTTTTAAGAATATGAGTAATAATTTAAATCTTAAATATTTTGATATTATAAATTTTAATAACAATTGTGAGGGATTAGCTATGAAATGACAAGAGAAACATTGCAAAGGATTAGCTACGGATTAGCGAAGAAATAATTGCAAGGCATTAACCACATATTAGCTAGAGATAAATTGTCAGGGATTAGCTACGGATTAGCAAGAGAAAAATTTCGAGAGATTAGCTACGGATTAGTGAGAGAAAAATTGCGAGAGATTAGCTACGAATTAGCGATAGTGAAATTGCGAGGGATTAGCTACGGATTAGCGAGAGATTAGCTACGAATTAGCTACAAGTTTTGGGAGATCAAATTAGCTAGAGATATACAAAATTTCATCATTTAAATTAGCGAGGGATTTAACGACAGTTTAGCGACAAAATTTGCTACAAGTTTGAGAGAGAATACATCTGTATCTAATTAGCTACTTGGATTTAGCTACGGACTATTCCATAGCTATTCCGTAGCTAATCTGTAGCAAAACATACCAGCGAGAGATTAGCTATAAAATAGCTACGGAATGTGTCATAGCTAATATGTAAAATTCTTGTAGTGAGATAAGGGATGCCAAAAAGAAAAAAACCAAAAAAAGAAGAAGAAGAAGAAAATAAAGAAAAATAGGAAAGAAAAGAAACAAATTTGTATGGAACCAGAAAGAAAAACTTTTATTAAACTCCAAGAAAAACTATAAGAGTGTTACATGGAGAACCTCCAAAAGAAGTATATATAAAGAGAAAAATAGAAATAGAAAAAGAAAATGGTTGAGAAGTGTTGAACAAACATGAGGGTTCCCAATGCAGAGTCAATAATTTGGGATTTTTGACAGGTCCTTGTAGACCCCTAATTTTGCCCGGTCTCTCAAATAAAGATAAAAGAGATCACCCGTAACAAGATAAAGCTCGTCTAGCATTACAAATAAGAGCCAAGGAGACTTCCTATATGAAGATAAAGCTTCAACAGACACATATCGGCATCAACTGACGTCCAAAACAGGAAAGGAAAGCTTCCGGAGTCCGAAACGCGAGCCGGCGGAACAAGTCGAGACGGCCGTCCCAAAGTTGGGACGGCCGTCCCAACCTGCCCCAACCAGTTGGGACGCGCGTCCGAGAGTTGGGACGGCCGTCCCAAGTCCCGGTTTAAGTGGGACGGCCGTCCGGGTTCCCGGGGGTCCCGGCCTGTGTAAAAATGCCATTTGGGACGGCCGTCCCACTCCAGACGGCCGTCCCACTCCAGACGGTGGTCCCGAAGTGCGCCAGCTGCGAAAACTATAAATAGGAGGCTCATTTGCCACTTTTTCACACCCTAGACACTCCAGAGAGCTCTGAAACACTTTCTAAAACTCAGAGCACTTGTCTATTTCTCTCCCTTTCTCAAATGATCTTTCCGATTGCCTTAAATAGGTAACAATCGGTTAAGGAATTATATTCCGGCATTTGATTCTTCTTTAAATTTTTAGTGGAGTCGATCTTGTATTGGTGAGGAGAGTCTGTGTAGAGAGAGGGGTTGCCAAAACGCATCCTCACAGTTGGAGATTCTCAATACAAAGCTTGCTACGGAGGTTCTTTTCAATTCTCTTCTCTTTTATTGCTTTATTTATTGTTTTATTTAGCTTTATGCCATGTAGAATAAAATCATGTAGATAGCTATTTTAATATCTCTTTTATTGCTTTATTTAGCTTTATTCATCATTTTATGCATGCAATATAGAATAAAATCATGTAGATAGCCATTTAATATTATGTAATAAAATAGGGTAATCGCGTAATTTCTCGTAGTCTTTACTTAAATGAATTAATCTGTCATAGGGAACCCGAAAGGGGCATTGTGGGGTGCTAACACCTTCCCCACACGTAACTAACTCCCTTACCTAACTCTGGTTATAATGGCCAAGTCTGGTTTTTATTAAAATCAATGCCTTTTCATCCTTTTCCAATGTTAATGGTCAAAATATTGATGGCGACTCCATAAGAACCCCTTTTCGAAAACCTTGCTTTTTCAATGTTGAAGCAATGAACATATTTTAAAACAAATACGCGAGTCTAAACCATCTTTTCGCGACCGCTCGCATAAACGTTCGAGACGTCCCCCGGACGTCGAAAGGGACGGCGGCGACAGATGGCGACTCCACTGGGGAAGCTAGAGAGTTGATCCCATTTAGTGACAGATAAATTCAAACTAAGTAATGATTTGAAATTACGCCTTTACCCTCCGTATGTTTTTACTTGTATGGCTTTAATAAGCTGTTGTATGACTATTTTACGCAAATTGTTTGAAATATAAATTGCACACAAAACCCTTGCACACAACAGTCCCTCTATACCGGGGGCAAGAGTGAATACCTATAGGGAGTGGGTGGCAGATACGATCGGTTAGTTGGCACACGGGGCTACTGCCGTTGTCGGAAAACCACCAACTCAAGGTGATAACTCTCTTCTTTTGGTCTAAGGGTGTCGCCACGGAGTTCCGTGCATGACCCGAGGATCGAGAGATTGAGAGGTCCCTATAATGGGGGCACCTTGGGGACCTTTGGCCTGGTGAGAACAGTTAGAACCACCCAAAACAAGCATGTTTCTGTAGGAAAACCCTACCTCGTAATAGCGTGGCTCTGCTCGTGGATGTATGAATTGTGTGTGCATATGTTTGCTGCATTTGTATTGATGCATTAGCATAGGGAAATCATACAACAAACAAACAAAAAAATGAAAAAACCTAAAAATCATAAAAAGCGAAAAGATAAAAGGCCTTTATCTCGGACAGTCTTCAGTTAAGCTAGCCTGGTTTCAGGTTCTTTGTAAGCTAAGTAGCCACGTTGACCGACAGAAGAGATAAAGGGTCATAAAAATGTAAAACCAGTTAAAACCATAAAAATACCTTTTATAAAAAAAAAGTTTCTTGACAAAGTCGTATCATTCATACCATATCATTCAATAAGTGGTAAAACCAAGAGAGAAAACCAATGCATTAAGAAAAGTACGCATAAACATCATCATAATAAAATCTCTCATACATAAACACATTCATCCTAGGGCATATCTATTCCACACTAATCATTTAAAATAAAAGTTATAATAAGAATCATTAAAATCATTTAGAAGGTGGCTGGTCTTCTGCCCGTCCTCACTCGTGCTCAAAAAGCTAAGAAGATGGAGCAACTAGAAGAACAAAACCGAAAGCTCACCGCTGAGCTTAATACGCTGAAAGAACAAATGACTCAAATGTTAGATATGATGCATCAACAGAATCTTCATCAAGAGGGTCCTCAGAATGGACAAGCCTCCCACCAGGAAGAAGAAGAGGAACCCCAGAGTGAGCATGACCCATCTGATACAAGAGCAGTACATATTCATGCTCCTGAAATATCAAAACAACAAATCACTGCTCTTGAAGAAAGGCTGAGAGCCATGGAAGGACATAACTTTGATATAAGAGAGGCGGTTGATATGTGCCTCGTTAAAGACATCCAATTCCCTAATAAGTTCAAAACTCCGGATTTCCCGAAATACATAGGGCTAACTTGCCCTAAAAGCCATCTTACGATGTCTTGCCGTAAGATGGCTGCATATGCTGACAATGAAAAGCTCTGATTCATTGCTTTCGGGAGAGCTTAGCTGAATCGGCTCTAAACTGGTATATGCAACTACAAGGAGGACGAGGTCCAAACATGGAAACATTTGGCGAGATGCTTTTCTTCGTCGCTATAAATACAATATTGATTTGACCCCTGAAAGAGCGAGATCTACAATTGCTAAGCAAAAAGGACGACGAACCCTTTAAGGCATATGCCCAAAGATGGAGAGAATTGGCGGCACAAGTAGAACCTCCTCTATCGATAAGGAAACCACATCCATGTTCATCAATTCTCTAAGCTGGTCCCTATTATGACAAAATGATAGGGAACACATCAACACTCTTTGCCGATGTGGTAATTATAGGAGAAAGAGTAGAGCAAGGTGCGAAAAATGGGAGAATCACACGACACACCTCTTCGATTCTTCCATTCCTAATGTTAAGAAGGGTTTTGGAAAGAAGAAGGAAGGAGCAGTGAATGCAATCAACATTACTACTCCTTCTTCCTCCTCGCGACGAGACGAGATCACGCAAGCAGGAAAGGAAATTTACCCCAATACCTACCTCCTACGGAAGTCTGCGATAAAATTGTTGGAGGCTAAACTCCTTGTACGCATCCCTCCCAAGAGAATAGAGCCGCCATATCCAGAATGGTATAAGCCGAACGAAAAATGCAATTATCATTCAGATGCTCCGGGACACTCTGTGGATAACTGCATGGCCTTAAAACATAAGGTCCAAGATTTAATAGATGCGGGGTGGATTACCTTTGACGCACCTACTCCAAAAATAGATGACCAGCCCTTACTAAAGCCCGAGTAAAGGACGGATAAGGAAGATCGGCAAATTAGGGCTCATCATTGTCTCTTTTTCTTTCCATCTCTAAAAAAAATAATAATAATATATATCAAAAAGCTTTCGATGTATCTCTCATGATCCTCGCCCGTGATCATGAGATTTTTTTTAA